AAAAAATCCGGAAAATTTGCCACATAGGAAAGGCGCCCGCTGCCGTGGCCTAGGTTTCTCACTGAAAATCCTCGTCCCCCGGCGGCATCTTGAATTTTCTTCCTTTTCAACGGCGTTTTTTGGGAATTTCGGATTTTTTGGAATTTTTTCGCTATTATATTCGGAAAATAGATAACTTTTAACACATTTTAATGCAATAAAAATTTTTGGTCGGAGTCCCCCTTTAAATAGTTAATTTCGAAACAATCGAGATAATCGAGTTTAAAATTGAAGGTTTGGGTGTGATTATTATAGAGAAATCCACTTGTTACGGATATGATGATCTTTTTTCAGAATATTTGATTCCGAAGGTTTGCTCCACTGGTCGCTGCTTATGACGATGTGCTCCATATGGGTGATTTCTGCATCGTTCTACTGGCTGTACGCTTAAAATCAACTATTCTATTTTTCCTTTTTCAAATAATTTTTCAGTCTGATTCTGACGGATCCTGGTGTGATGCCTCGCTCGAAAACCCCATTAAACGATTTCGTAGAGCATCTGGAGACAAAGAAAATCGAACGATATTGTTTTACGTGTTGGATTCCAAAGACTTCAAACTCGCATCACTGCTCCCAGTGTGATAAATGTGTCGATGGATTCGATCATCATTGTCCATGGATTCACAAGTGTGTCTATCGGAAAAATCTTCGATTCTTCGTCCTTTTCTGCCTCACCAACTTGATATTTGACGTCATCTATGTTCCAGTTTTGATCAATATGATTGCTGTTTCATGGAATACTGTTGGATTCAGTGGGTTTTCAAGTACTAATCACTTATTCAGATCATTTTTAGGTCAAACCCTATCCGATCATGGAATCATGGTTCTCAGTCTATTCTTCTCAATCCCTCACGTCATCGGAGCCGGAGCCATCACCTACACTCAATTCTCACAGATTTCTCGTCACATCACCACAATTGAAATCATTCGGAATAGCAGAGCTCAACAGGATTCTGATAAGTAAGTTTTCTTCAAAATTATCAGATTAGGAAAAAAGAAATTTAGATCCACTAGTCCAACATCCGCATCGATTTACAACCCATGGGAAGACAGTCCGAGTATCAAGACGAGAGTTCGAAATGTCTGTAATCTTCTAGTATTTGATCGATTCGGAGGTGATGAGGATGGTAGTCTGTGTGAGACGACGTCTGGATCTTTTGAAACTTCAGAATCTCACATTTAATTATTCTATGTTTTCTGTCTAGTTTTTCTACCGGTTCTAATATTCCTATTGTGTTTTCTTTGTCTTGAAATGTGCTTGGACTGGATGGAATAAAATTTTCTTTTCCAATTTTTAAAAATTTTTTCTGTTTCAAAAATCTGTATTGTTTCATTGAACTTCATATCAACTTATTCGAATATGTCCTTATTGATTTGAAACAGATGTTATAAAAGCCATATGCAACGGCCCCAGATAACTTTTGAGCAATCCGTTTCTGACCAAATCTGTAGACAACACTTCGGATACCTTCTGTGCATCCTTGCCAAGGTTTAACTTTTTCAGGCTAAAAATCTTTCGGCCGGATGTTTTGAAATTTCAGAATCTCACATTTAATTATTCCATGTTTTTTGTCTAGTTCTTCTACCGGATCTAGTTTCCTATAGTGTTTTCTTTGTCTCGAATTGTGCTTGGACTTGCTCAAATAAAATTTTCTTTTTCAATTTTTTTGAAAGTTGAAAGTTTTCTGCTTCAAAGATATGTATTTGTTTCCTTTGACGGATCTTCAACTAATTCATTGCGACCGTTCGTTTCTGACCAAAACCGTAGAGGATACTTTGGGACCTTTCTAGTACATCCTTATTCTAGGCTGATCAGCAACCGACTGAGAATGTTCAAGTTCTGACACGTTCGTTCCTTTTGGGGATAGTTCTGATATGTCATTCCTTGAAAAGCATCAATCCAAGAACAAAGGTGATTCGCGAACAATCCGTTACGGATTCTCCGCCATTCGCGCGCGGATGAAATAGGAATCGTATACGGACCGTACGCGAATCCGTAACAGATCCGTTTCCGACTCATTCTTTGAAAACCCCCGCCGCTCCTTTTTTCAGTTTCTCCTAATTTTTGCTGAGTTTTCATGATAGTTGTAGACTTAGTATTCGAAACTTTATTAAGAAAACATATAAGAAACAACAATCAAACGTACAACAAAGTTCGAGAAACTATGAAAATCTTTTTTTTTGTTGAACGACCAGCCGGAACCAGAGCAATCTGAAAAAAAATTGGGAAATTTTCCGAAAATGCAGCATACTGTTTACCTATTAGTTATATTTTTTGTTTTCCGCGTTCTGAAAATTGTCCCATTTCCAACGTTTTGGTCGGTAGATGTTTAGTAGATGTCCATCGCTGAAAATTTGAAAAGTCACTATTTCGAAAACTAATGTGGTTTGCACTTACCTTAAGCTAGCAACTTGCTTTCTGCAAAAGTGAGCATCAAATCAATATTTTTTGTTCCTTTTGCTCACGGAGAGGTTAAGTGATACCTATAACAAACCCTATGTTTCGAAGAATTACTTTTGTGTTACAAACCTTTTTTCATCGTAGAATCGCCTTTCGAAAGTTTTGATAGACAGAAATCGACTCAATTGCCGAGAAAAGTTGGAAAAAAAACGGCAAAAATAGATTAAAAATACAAAAAAAAAGATGCAAAAATATGATGGAAGAGTTAAGAGAAAGCTAGTCCCTCACAACTCGGCCATCCGGAACGGATCCGTTCGCGAATGGGCATGGGAACTATCTCTCGACCTCCAGATGCATCCGTATCCGGTCCGTTCGCGAACTCCGTATCCTGTCCGATTGCGAATGTTGAAAAAACGGATCCGTTTGCGAACTCAGATTCGCGAAACTGCCCGTAACGGACCCGTTACGGATAGAAAACCTAGTGGACACCGAAACGGATCCGTTCGCATTTTACCTGTGAACGTACATGAAGATGAAATACCCTTTTCTACATAATTTTCCCATCAAACATGAAACCCTCAATACAGTTCAAAAGGAAGAGAAGTCGCTCAAGTGGAAAAAGAGTCATTGATACTCATTGAGACGGGAGCCCTTGTCGGCGAATCTCTTTGTAGAATGTCTGCGTCTCTTCATCTCTTTCACTATTTCTCTCATTTGTTACGGTTTGCCGCCTTCCGATTTACCACAAAAGAGAGGAAGAGACACGAATGAAATTTGACAGATACACATGTCGAAATGGTGTTTTGGGTAACTGGTGGCAAGATTAATGGATGCATGGAGAGGATTTTCGCGGTAAATGTCCGTGAAACCATTTCACACCATTTTTTTGCCTTTTGTATGAAGTACTGTATGAAGTTTTTGAAGACCCTTGGATTTTCAGTCTTCGCTTTTTTTAGAATTTTTTATTCGAAGATTTTATGTCGAGTTTTTGAAAAATTAATTTTTCAAAGTTTCAAACACGATGGAAATTCGTCAAATTTAGTCTATCTCACAAGGGAAGGTTTTTCAGACAACGGTTGAGAATTTGCTCAAAATTTGTACAAAGGTACTTTCGATCATGCTGAATCCGAATCCAAAAAAAATTTTAGCCCGTTCTCAAAAGGAGCCGAAATATGGCCTCTGAAAGTGCTTTTAGTACTAAATTTTGGCCAAAAACATGCATTTTTCGAGGTTAAAAATAAGTTTTTCAGGATTGGCTTGAGTGCGAAACTCA